CACACACACACACACACACACACACACACACACACACACACACACATTCCATGGATAGGATGAGCAAAAACGGAATGAATCTTGCGCTGAAACGTGCAAATATACACTCCCACTTTTCGTGCCACAGCCCCTCGTTTGTTGTCCTCTAGCGTGCAATGATGAGTTGGTGAAACTCCGACGAAACAGTTTGCCACAGCCCCTCGTTTGTTGTCCTCTTCTCCCTCTCTGCCTACGGTTGACCGGGCAGCTCTGCTTGCATTCTCTATTATATTGTCTATCTATAGATTCTATACCTTTTCGTTATAGATGGTTTCATTGGTATTTTATGATTTGTGGAGGAAATGAGAGAGAGAGAGAATTTGGGGTGCTTTAACAACACACATCCGCAGAAAGCTCAGTTTGTGTGCATGTGTGTTGTTTTGTGAATGTATGCGGCTAATAAGACGTATTGCATGTTTTTTATTTTGGGCTCCTGTTCTACTGTGCTGTTTAGCGGTGACGTTGATTGAGTGGCCAGAGAGGATGGGCAGTCGTATTCCTGAAGAGCGGTTGGACCTCAGAATAGGGTTGTTGGAATTCTCTGAGGTAAATGAGCTGTGTCCCCTAAGGCTATCCCTGGCATTCTTTTCTGCTCTTGTGCCCCTGCCCCTCTTGAAGGCCTCTCCCTATTCCACCACCTCCTCCTCCTCCCTCTCTTAGTTTTATGCTGAGCTTGCTGAGCGTGACTGAGCACACCGCATGCTACCGTCTTCAGCCGAATAGGACGACCGGTCATTATCACTGTGTCTAGACTGAAAGTTGCACCAAATACAGCTATAATGACCGGGGGCTGTATTCGGGTGAAGACGGCAGGCTCACTCCGCATGACTCACGCCATCAAATATTGGGTCCTTTCCCCCCTTCTTCACAAGGTAGGAACCCCTGTGACCGTGGGTCTAGATTTTTTTTTTTTTTTTTTTTAACACGGCCCCACAAGTGCTATTGGTGGACTCTAGAGGCCATATCCAAATCATTGGATCGCAGAAGCTTCTTTTTTTTTTTTTTTTTTAACACCCCCCCACGAGTGCTATTGGTGGACTCTAGAGGCCATATCCAAATCATTGGATCGCAGAAGCTTCTTTTTTTTTTTTTTTTTTAACACGCCCCCACGAGTGCTATTGGTGGACTCTAGAGGCCATATCCAAATCATTGGATCACTGATGCTACCATCTTCACCCGAATAGAACGTACGCCGTACGCCGTACGGTAATTATGCCTGGATTTGGGCCACTTTCAGTCTAGATACAGCGGATACGGCAGTAATGACCGTACGACGTACATTTTCTATTCAAACGAAGATGGTCGAAGGCACTGTCACACTCATTACTTGGTTAGGCCTTTAGCAAATTAGCGGGTGCCGAATGGGCCCAGGCTAATTTGCCCAAAGGGTCCATCCAGCAATTCTGATTGAGTGTTTTTTTTTTTTTTTTTTTTTTTTGCCTGGTATACACTGTTTGATCGCATGTACGGCATGGTCAAATGGAAGATATATGACTGTTATATTCTGTTTGACCGAACGTTGACCGTTTTTTTTTTTTGGCCTGGTATACAGTACTATACACTGTTTGATCGCATGTACGGCATGGTCAAATGGAATACATATGACTGTTATATTCTGGCTGACCGCTCGTTGTTTTGTTATTGCCTAGTGTATTCTGCTTGAACGCATGTATGGCCAAACGGTCAAATGGAATATATATGACTGTTATATTCTGTTTGACCGCTCTTTGTTTTGTTATTGCCTAGTGTATTCTGCTTGACCGCACGTGCAGCTTTCTCAGATGAAATACTTCACTGACGTACTCCATTTGACCAAACGTTGACCAAACGTACAGTATGGCCAAGGGTAATACTTGACTGCTGGTTATCCATGGCATCTGCCACAGTCAAATGGAAAGCACGAACTTAGTACAAGCTGAGTACAACAGAGCACAAACTTAACGAAACGAACAAGACTTTGAAGTTTGTACACTTAGTACAATTGCAAACTTAGTGCAAACTTAGTACAAACTTAGGACAAACATAATACAAACTCAGTACAAAGTACTACAAACTTAGTACAAGTGCAAACTTAGTACATGTTCAAACTTAGTACAAGTGCGAACTTAAGGGCACAAACAAAAACTTAGTACAGACTTAGTGCATTTAGTACAAGTGCAAAATTTGTACAAACTTAGTGCAAGTACACTTAGTAGAAGTGCAAACTTAGTACAAACTTAGTACAAGTGCAAACTTAACGGCATGAACAAACTTAGTACAGACTTAGTACAAGTGCAAACTTAGTGCAAACTTTAGTGCAAATTTAGTGCAAACTTTAGTACAAACTTAGTACAAACTTCGTACATGCTTCGTATGCAAACTTTAGTACAAACTTAGTACACACTTCGTACACGCTTCGTATGCAAACTTCCGTACAAACTTAGTACAACCTCGGTACACACTTCGTACAAGCTTCATACAAGCTTAGTACGAACTAGTCCAGAATCCAGAGTTAGTACAAATTACTCGAAGCTTCATACAAACTACACCAAACTTCATATAAACTACACCAGACGCCAAACTCAGTGCAAACTTAGAATGACGTTTTTTCAAAGTACAAATCTTAGAATGACATTGTACAAAGCATGCACATGATTGCGATTGCATGAACTGAGGAAGAATAATCATTGTGTTTTCTCTTTTGCAGACTACTTGCAGGCAACAAGAGTCCGCAGTATTGATCTCGCAGGATGAACTGGCTGATGAGTGCTCTGCCCTCCCAGATGGTCCACAGCAGGAGGAAAGGGAAAGCGATGGTTCCAATGCTCTGGTACAGGAGTCCAGAGCATCATGCCGGGAGATGGAAGCCAAGGCCTTCCATAGTGATAGGCATAGCAATAGCAATGAGGAGGAACATTCTACAGAGGAGAGTGATGATGAATATGAAGATCGACAGCCGCGCGTGATAACCTTCGTAGGTCATGGAGATCGCTGGGAAGGAGTGCAACTTTGCCTTGCACGAGACGAACCATAATATGGTGACTTCGTTGACTGCTCTGTTCGTAGTGACAAAATGGTAGCAATGGTGATGGTATCATGGTGATGGTAGGAGGAGGAGGAGGAGGAGGAGGAGGACGAGGTGAAGGAGGAGGACGAGGAGGACAAGGAGAAGGAGAGGATGGGCTGTCTTCCACTTAGGATTGCCATGCAGAAGATGGGGTCTAGTCAATTACGTTTCCATCTCTTAGAAACACAAAAGATAAGACCTTCCTTCTGCATTCTCTGTCTCTGTCTCTGTGACTCTCTCTCTGCCTGTCAGTCTGTCAGTCTGTCTATGTCAGTCTGTCAGTCTGTCTGTCTGTCTGTCTGTCTGTCTGTCTGTCTGTCTGTCTGTCTGTCTGTCTGTCTGTCTGTCTGTCTGTCTGTCTGTCTGTCTGTCTC